CCCCCCCCCCCCCCCCCCCCCCCCCCCCCCCCCCCCCCCCCCCCCCCCCCCCCCCCCCCCCCCCCCCCCCCCCCCCCCCCCCCCCCCCCCGCCCCCCCCGCCTAGAACGAGAGGTTAACAAGTGTGGGCCCAACCGAATCCTCGCTCTCATAAAGGAGATGGGATAATATTTGAAATAACATCGTATATATCACTATTCTGGCTGTCATAAGGCAGACGTGGTAGAGGTCGCTGGCGTATGTCAAATGCAATATATTTGAATACAAGATCAAAAATTAATTATAAGAAATTGCAAATAGCTGATGTGCAGTATACCTCATCACCCAATGATCGAAACTCTTTAATCCTAACCGGCACCAAGAATTTAAGAAGACAATCAAGGATTTTCTTACCAGTACCATGAAAACGCCAACCACCAAAAAGTTTATCATCATTAAAGATACAGATCAGGAAGAACGAAAGCACGACGACTTTATTCGTATAAATTTTACGAAATTTTCGGAAGCAGCCGAAGAAGATCCGGAAGCATGGCTTACAGGAGTACTTCAGGTATTTGAGTCATTTGAAATACTCTAATCAAAGTGGCCCAAGCTCTAACTGTGAAAACTATGAAAATATAACAATTCAAAACGTACGTGAACATTGGCTGTTATCAATTGCAAATTTTTGTATTCGATGATTATAACGATCAGCTACATACAAATTTCCAACTGAATCAAAAGCAAGTCCATGTGGATACTTCAGCTGATTCATTGCAATTCCGTCTTTATTTCCTAAAGAGTTGAAAATATGTTTGGAAGTTATAAAAGCTATTTTCAGGAGCAACGCTTTTACTTACCTCCAGCTATGGTGATGCCAGTTGTTGCATTTTTTTTCCACAATTGAATTCGATGATTTCTCTGATCCGATACATAAACATTATCATTTTCATCTGAGATCATGCCGAGTGGATTATCTAATGATAAATCATCTGATCCATTTTTTAATTTTCCTGCTACCGTTATACCACTTGATGCTAATGGTTTCCATTTTTGTATTCGATTATTTGCACTATCAGCCACGAGCACATTACCATCATAATCAACAAATAGTCCGTCACATTTATTCAGTTGACTTGCAGCTGATCCTTTCTCATTTGCTATACCTGCTACAACTGTTTCAGGGAATAATTTTAAAACTGTTCCGCTACCGGAATCAGATACGTAAATAGTTCCTGTTTTGTCGATAAATACATCGCGAAGAACACCATGACCTTCATGAACTAATACGACTCCGTCTTCTTTTGTCCATTTCTGTAGTCCCTTCAGATCAACGATATATAATATATTTTCTTTTTGATCAAAAGATAAACCAGCTGGTTGATATATATAGGTTGAATTAACAATCGTTATGCCTGTTTTTGAACCAGGAGAAAATTTTTGTATACGATTATTTTTACGATCAGATACATAAAGATTATTTTCATTATCGACAATAACATGTGATGGCCAGGCTAATTCAGTTGATGACGAACCATTTTTTCCTGCAGTGCCAGCCACTGTAATACCAATTTTCTCCCAACGAGAACAATCTCTGATTTCTCCAGAGACAAAACTAATTAAAGTTGCTAAGCATAGAAAGGTAAAAAAACGATTAGATAAAACCCACGAGGTATTTCACTAAACTCACCAGTTAAACACAATGCTTTGGTTAATAGTGCAATACACATTCTGATCTGTACTGAGATGTTCTTTAAAAAGTATATTATTCTTATTATCACGCGTATATCATTATCATAGCCAAGATGTTGATGACAAGTATATATTTATCAATACGACAAAACAACTATTATATTATCTTTTAGTAAATGAATCGAAAAAAAGAAGTTTTTCTTTTCTTCTTCCAAACACTATCGCACGAGTAAACGATCTTCTTCTTTTGGTGTGTATAAAAGAGGGATGGGGCATAGTGTCACGTAGGAGAAACTGAAACTTTTTACGGCTATTGTGTCGGTATAAAATGGGCTAACCTGAATACACGTACACCGAAAGATTTTTTTGATTCGAAAGTAATGTCTCATTTTAATGCAGATCATCAAAATCGTTGACTGAAGAGTTGTTTGAAATAGATGATGTTATATGGCTATCTTCTGGATTAAACGTTATGCAAAGCTAGCTAAAATGTCTGTTTTCTAAGCTTTGTTATCCAAACGAATGTCATTCTCCTTCTACATTAACTTCTGTCGGCATCAGTAACCAGACGTCTCTAGTACACACCACAAAAAACCTTTAATAAGTTCAAATAAGTCTATTTTGAAAGAAATATACAATATTTAAAATCAGATCTTTTATCTTGACGGTCTCCATTTATCTGTGACATTTATTGAGAAAATTTTGTAATTTCTTTTGAACGCCTTTTAACTGGAGAAATGCCTTTTTTCGCTATCGTTTACGAGGGAAGGCCCTCAAATGCCCAGAAGCTTTTGGCTCAAAACTTAGTGGAAAATAGGTAATCAAGTGTCCTGATTCCGAATATTACGTTGGTTTGGACCCAATTTTAGTTTAAAGACCCGGTTTTTGAAATACTGAGTTTTTGGGTCGAAAAACCATTTGCAATAAAAAAAATTTTGATCCGTGAATATGAAAGAGCATATCGCGAAACCCACGTAAAACTGTTCAAGGTTTTAAAGGAGGTTTTGAGCGGGTTTTGAAAGACTAAAACTTAAAAGTACACTAAGGAAAACGCGTTTTCGCACTTATGCGTTTTGTGCGATAAAAATACTCTTTTCTAGGTTATCGAACGTGCCAAATTCGAATATTCCATTGTTTTCAGTCCTTAGAAGAGAAAAAAAATAGCGTATATTTATATCAAAGTTACACGAAAAGCCGAATATTCTAGAGTTGATGTACTAGACTGGAAAACTGGGGATAGATGTAAGCGATCACAGAAAATAAAGAAACTAAGAAATAACACTGGAGAAATTCCTGACAGAAAGAAAGAGAACGAATATACATATATATATGTATGATGCCTATCATACAATTCTCTCTTGTGGCACGTCTTTAATATGTGCCATAACACAATAATCTTC